TTGTGTTGTCACAGTAATAAATCTACGAAAAGCAGAATAAAGAACACAACAATTTAATGTGGTTCGGATACAAATGTACCCTACATCCACGAGGACTTGCAAAACTAGTTCAGATTTAAGTGTACATTAATAGGACTTAATAAAACACTAAAGACTCCCTCTTTATGTGATATGCCGTTCTTGCACACGACTCGAACTTGTTGATAATCAAAGCAATTCCTCCTCCGCACTCTTGGACTTCCTCCAATGTTGAACTTCCTTCAAACGGCGGATCGACCTCTCCCGAGATCTTTTAAGCACTTCTCCCGAAACGCTGATCTTCTTTATGGTCTGGTAGAACAAACCTGTTCTGTTGCCACACCTATCGTGCAGGCAGGGCTGCAGCACGGGCTGCACCCTTCAAAGCCTTTATGCTGGGATTTTTCTTATTAAAGCTCCATAGGACTCATATGAGGTTGAGGGCCTTATATATGCACGAAATCCACCACCCTAAACCTAACTTGAGCCCTAAGAAATCGATTAACTAGGTAATAGAATCCTAGTCGATTTCTACTTCTATTCTAGATAAGTACAAAAGATACCTTACTAGAATATAATACATGGAAATTAATCTAAGTCCTAATAAAAATATTACAAGAATAGGACTCTAATTAATTCCAAAATAAACATGGAAAACAAATCTTTGCCAATCTTTAATTTCCACGTATGGCGGATTTCTTCAATCTTCACTAACGGAAATTTGGTGCCAACAATGTCCATGCATGTTCGTGCTTCCCCATTTACGAATCGATCAATTCTAATTCTTTCAATTTGTGAACTTTGTAGACATCATTAGGATCGTAAATCGTAATCGAATTTTTATTTCGCAGTTGTTTAGAAATCTATTCCATGCTTAGAAAATTTTATACCGTCCTAAATTTATATATCATTGGTTCGTATGATCAGCTTCTTGGTTTGTTTCACCTTCAAGTATTTTTTATTTTATTTTAACATGTGGGCATTTTAGACAGTACAACTCCTTTATTGTATCCAGTTAATTAAATGCAAGAAACCATAATGTTGGGCTTAAAATGGACAGAGTAGTTAGGTTAAGTAGTTTTAACTTTGGGGTTAATACAGTTTGTAGCCCTGAAGTATAGTTGCGTAACACTTGTCCCCTTAAAGTTTCTATATGTAACACTTATCCCCTTAAAATTTCCTCTCATTTATTAGATGGAATAATTGGCAAATAATTCAATTATTTTATTAAAAATATCTATTGAAAAACTATAATATTTTTAATTAAGAAAAATATTGTCCTGCATTGCAAGCATAAATGTAATAACATTAAAATCTAATTTTTGTTGACCAAATAAAATTTAAAAACAACTAAAATTATATTATTGAACAAAAAGACTAATAAATACGAGTGTGTGTGTGTGTGTGTGTGTGTGTGTGTGTGTGTGTGTCTACCGAACAATTACGACTGCAAACATATTTTTTTTAAATCATTTTCTTTTCCAAGAATTCGTTGAATATCAATCGTTATCTTACTTGTTTAAATATATTTTAATTCGTTAATTTGTTAAAATTTCTTATTACTGATAATATTTAAATATATATTTTTTATGTTTGTCGAATAATTTTATTTATTTAATTCTGAATTTTATATAAACAATAAGAATTTGTTTTTTTTTTTTTTGTTATTTATTTTATCAAAGAAAGATCAAACTTAAATTTAAAAAGTATTAAATTGACTTTTTTATTGATTAAATTTATAGCAATATTTTTCAATTATTCCATCCAATAAAAATGGAGTATATGATTTTTTACCGTTGATCTACACACATCAATGTGGGTGTGTGTGTTTGTGCGTATATGAATGATAAAATCTATCCGGTGTATTTCACCCAGTGTAGCATAGTATAAGCCCGATCCAAATAGCGCATTAATCCTAAAAGCTAAAGCTTTTAAGAAACTTTAGAATAGCAATATCAATTTAAAATGAAGGTCTAGAGAATATTAGACGCTATCATTCATCATAGATAATAAACCAATTAAATGTAAAAGAGAAAAATGTATACCTTAGTTTTATAATGCATTCAGCACACACACCCACTGCATTCATACTAATCGTTCGACCTCCGCCTGCCACGGAGAAATTGGAGCCCATACTAATTAGGCTAGCAAAATTTTCTTTAGCAAAGTTAACACGGAGCCGAAATTGTTTTTAAACTTGTTAGAATACTTGGAAAAGTATCATAATAAATTTAATTTGTGTCTTATTCTCTCGTATAGATACCCTATTTATAATAAAATATATAAGTCTAGTTACAATATAACCATGTATGACTCCTAATCTAAATATATATAAGAGTAGAATCTTAATTACTAACAAAACTAATTTAAAAAAAAAAAAAAACTTGTGATAGTGCTCCATATTAATTAATAGTATGAATAAAAGAGGGAAAAAGAAATAGTGGTAATGATTACATCCAACTAATGCATTAATTAGTATACAGAGGAAACGGAACGCAACATCAACCATTAAATCTACCTACCAAGTCTAGTTAACTGTCTCCTTCATTTGTCCTAGATTTATACAATCAAACACCTGCTCTAAACCAATAACTCCGTTTCCTTGCTTTTATTAATTAATTAATTAATTAATATATTAATTAATTGAGGGTAATTTTTGTCAATTTTATTTCTTTTGTTGCTAGCATCAATAGCGAATACAGTTAAAAAAAGTACTTCCTCCGTTTCATTTTAATTGTCGTTTTTTTAGCTTTGCATAAAGATTAAGAATTTCATTAAATGTGTTTTGATTTATAGGAAAATGTATATTTTTAGACTAAAATAACATTGTCTTATAATTAATAAGAGAGATAAATTAGTTGAAAAAAGAGTATTGGAAAGAGTTAAGAAGGGTATAAACTGGGAATTAAGTAATTAATGAAGTGCTGGAAATTTAAAATGACAGATAATATGGAACAAAAAAATTCTCCAAAGCGACAGATATTATGAAACGGAGGAAGTATTCAACGACGCTTCGTATTAAGCTAATATTATTCAAGTCGGTGTTAACATCTCGATGAACAATAAATCAACTCTATTTAGGAAATCGTGTTTGCTTTTGAAAATTGATTGTTAAGGCAAAGTGGCAAAGAATAGGGTCATAATTAATAAGGTAAAACTAATGACAATCTCGTTTTGAAATCGCATTGAGATAAGTTCTTCATTTGGAGATAATTAGTGAAAATCCTCTCCTTATGTATTTTTCGTGAAATTCTAGCTTATCTTATGTTCTTTCGCGAAATTCTAGTTTACCTTATGTTTTTTGTGAAATTTTTGGTTAAACTTAACGTAAATCGACTACGTTGTTTGCGTAGTTGATTTCTTAATCGATTAAGTTGATTGAAATATTAAAGCGTATATTAGGCCTAAAACTAATAAATCGACTATAAAAAAAACATAGTTGGTTTATTAATCGACTATAGTCGATTACGTAAAATGTCACATAACAATACTAAAAACGATGGTAGAAAAAGTGTACACAACGGAATGGAGAAGCTCTGCCACATGATGCCTTGGTAGAGACCGTAGAGAAGGAAATTGCCGGTATATGAGAGAAGGGTTGTTTCAATTACGGCAGTGGAGGTGTTTTGATATCCAAACTCCTCGACGACAGTGGATAGTTTTGATGTGCAGATGGTGGCGCCTCGACGTCGGTCGAATAATTTTATGTTTAGACGGTAGTGCTTGAGGGTGCATCGGTGAGAAGAAGGTGATTCGAATTTTGGATAAATAGGAGTGAGTAGGACTTTTATCTAATAAGAAAATTGAGGATGGACATTTCCCAATTATTATATCCACTTGGTTAGACAATTCATTCACCCTCAAACAATCAAAGATGTATCACAATGTTATTATTGGTGTTCAATTTGATAGTACGAGAGACCTATCACAAAGTCACACTAAAATACTATTGGTGTCTTGTATTAGTGGTAAGATGCATGAATATATATAGTTGATAAAAATATCCACTAACTAATTATCAACAAATCATTTCCATCTCAAGGTCCGAAAACTATCGTCCAGGGTTGTATCGAGACAATTTTTCAAGTGCATGGGACAAATCGATGCAATCGAGAGTAAAAATAGGTAAAGTGATATCGAGCCAAAGTACAAGGGGAAAGTGAAATGTACCCTATTTCATATTTGTAACCGGAAATAACTTTTTCATGGACAACATGGATATTTGTATTTCGAGAACTAAGTAAATCCACATTTAACTAAGGGTATAATATATCTAACTTCTAATGTCAATTCTAGTTACATACAGAAAAAATATGCAAACCTCCATCGATATTTGATTCAATGAAGAAAAAAAAAATCCAATACAAACTCAATAACATTTCTTAAAGTCTTGTTTTGATCCATATTTGTTTTAATTTATTAGTTTCATTAGGTCGGGAAAAAAAACTAATATTTCAATGAGATGAATTAAGATGAAAATGGACAATAATTTGTTCAACTAATTACATCAATCCACCATCCATGATTATGACACTCGATCATTCTTTTCAGTTTTTTAATGAAGGAACCAACAGTCAGTCAATCATGTAAGTTATTACTTATTATTAACAACTAAAATTGTTGGGAGCGAGAAACTTCCATCATATATATGTGTCGGTAACTATTTATTTTACCCAATCTACAAATATATGCGAGGAGGGCCGAGTGCACCCTCAATTTATAATTTATTCCCTATATTATACCTATATATCTAAACTAATGCAAAAAAAAAGCTCTTAATTTTTTTTTTCTATTTTTGTTCTTTTCGTATTTCCTGTTTTTGTCACAAAAAGTCCTTATAAAAAACATTTAGGTGCACTGCCCTGAAACCACTGAAAATTTAAGTCCATCCTATAACAAATCTCTAGACTCACCACTATATGTGAGTAATTGTTTTCTTTTAAAAGACATTATCTACTATGTAATATTATCCGATGCAAATAATCAGAACTAAAAATGGGATGCAATTAATCGAAAAATACATACATGTAAAAAATAATACAAGTTTTACAAAAGAAAGAAACTATAGCTAGTATACTCTAATTGTGAGAAATTGAATTCGAATTGGATATCGATAAAGACGATGAGGACTTGATGAAATCAATGCAGTCATCTATGGCCTCAGCCCTCTGAGAATCAAGTACCGGCGCAACGCTTGGCTTTGCCCTTTCTTTAATATGATTCCGATGAGACGATGACTTTGTTGCAACCATACGCGCAACCACTGCCGCCACTTTCTCGACCGCATGTTTCAGATATTTCATCGGAGAAACCAATTCGTACCTCTTCGGTAGCCTGAAATCACAGCTTCTTGTGCACCCTTTTCTCTGCCCATATTGATCATCGAGTTTCTTCCCTGTCGAATTCTGTTTGCCGAAACCCTCTTTCCGGCCTGACGACATAGTAAACACAGTGTACCGTCTTTTGTGTATAATTGTATAAGAGAGAGAGAGAGAGAGAGAGAGAGAGGACAAAGTGTTAGAGTGAGAGTGAAAAGGAAACAATGGTGGGCTTAAATAGAAATTTGTTAGGGTAGTTGCAACTTGCAAGCAATATTAATTATCTTTTTCTAATGAAAAGCATGCAATAGTGATGTATAAAGTTTAGATAAATAAATTGTCACAATTATATTTCATATATCTACAAAATCCATGAATCAAGTCTGATATATATATATATATATATATATATATATATATATATATATAAAGAAACAAATTGATATTTAGAAATACTAAGAAATATTATTTAACCAATCAGAAATTAAAAGTACTACTGAAGGAAGGTTCAAGTGTGTATGCACTTGGTGAAAAGTGGATATACAATAATTAGTTGTTCTATTTCTACATATCTCTTTTTGTAGTGTATGTGAATTGTGATAAAGAAAGGTGTAGAAGATTGACAATTTTAGTTTTTGTTTGAACTTTTTTTTTCTTTCTAAAAGCGAAACGTAATATTATCTCGATTGACAAATATAATTTTCGTAACCAAAAAATATCAAGTGAAATTGAAGCTGTATTTTGATAATTTAATCCTCAAAGCAGTGTGTGAAAATGAGAACGGGGTTCGTATCAGTAAAGATCGAAGCAATCTAATTACGACGTGCCCTTTGCTTTAATCTTAGAAAGGAAAAACAAAAGGAGAACAAAAAGTTATCTTATGTAGGGGTGGAAATCGGACGGAATGGTCTGGAATGACTTTTTCAGAAATTTTCAGTTTTCTTTGGAAGTAAGAACGGGTACCAATTTCCGTTCCAAAGAAACCGGAATGCAAAACTTAATTCTGATTTTGGAATGCCTCGAAATCGGTGGTATTTCTGAATTAAATTTCGGAAATTACATCAGTTTGTAATTGTTCCAAACTCGGATATAAAGAAAATTTTCACAATATTTTTCTATTTTTTTTTTTTTATTTTGCAGCAAAATAAACAAAAAACAAAAGAGAGTTCGACAAAGTGCAATAAATAAAAACACATGTAGGAACAACAAATTGAAACAAATATTTTTTTAAAAGGAAAAATGCAACATAAAGTTTCTGATACCAATTATTATTTTGTAAGGCTTTAATTTAATTTACTTGACCATTCGGTATTTATATTTTTCATATACAATATAACATAAGTTATATTATGGAATTACAAAATATATTATAAGGGTCCATTTGGATGGAGGGATTTGGGGAGGGATTTGATTTGGAGAATGGATTTGAAATGACTCCAATTTTGGAGTCATTTGAAATCCACCACTATTGCTCCAAAAACAACTAAAAAGGAGGGGTGGGGATTTGAAATCCATCTCCAAATCCTTCAATCCAAACAAGTCAAGGGATTTGTTATTATGGATTTGAAATCCCTCCCCCAAATCCCTCCATCCAAATGCACCCTAAAATTATATTATATATTTTGAAAAACCATAAAAATATTCGAAACTAAAATCAGATTGAAAATCGGAATTTTCGGTAATTTTATATCCCATTCTGAGTTGTTCAAATAAATTCGGAAAAACCAGAGATCGGAACTTCGCAAATCGCAATGAAAAATACAATTTTAAATTCAAATATTTTCAGATCGAAATTGGCGGAATTCAGAAATTTCATTACAATTTCCACACATAATCTTATGGAAGCCAATATCATTCTGTAGAGTATCTGCAAAAGTGCAATGTTAATGTTATAATTTAAATTTTATAAACAAGTTTGATCAAAAATTCCATCTTCAAGATAAAAAAATATAATACAACAATTTGTTAATTATAACTTTAGCTTGTGAAATTTCAAACGCCAAAGTTATAATTTAGCATATCAATGATATATTTACAAAAAAAATATTATTTTATTGTTTATAATATATTTATTATTAAAATATTTTTATTATTGTCTCTGAATTATTTGTTTCCGCCAATAAATATTTTAAAGGTGAAATTTAATTACTTTACTTATTATTAGTCATAATTAACATAAACAAATTTATTATTATATTACGGGAAAATTGCATTTTTCGTCCTCATACTTTACCCACTTTTTCAAAACTGTCCCTAAACATTTTGGAGTTACAATAGTAGTCCTTAATCATGCCATTTTTTGACAGAACTGGTCCGCCGTTTATTTTTGCAGTTAATTGGATGGAAAATGGCATGTGCCTCTCACATGCCTTCAATATACAACACTACATGAAAATGGACTTTTAACAACACGCATTGCGTCTTGTTAAAACAAATCTTTAAAACTTGATTGAAATTAGAAATTATATAAATTCCAAAAAAACAAAATCGATTTATATTGTTTTAAAATATTTTGAGAAATATTCTTTAAACAATTGAAACATTGTGTCAAAATAAAATAAAAATTCAATCCGAATAGGTGGGATAAGAAACTTCCATTTCAATCTTCACCCTCATTTAATAATGTAAAACTCGATAAATTGTTTCAAAATATTTTTAGAAGTATTGTCTAAAATAATAATACAATGTTTTAAAACCGGGATTTCTTGAACCTGAATGAAAATTATTGTTTTAAATAAAATAAAATCTTATCGTAATAGGCGGAGTAAGAAAACTCCGTTTCAATTTTCACCCTTATTTAATAATCTAAAACTCGATATGTTTTTTCAAAATAAATTCAGAAATATTGTTTAAAAAATCATAATATTGTCTAAAAAATAATATTGTCTTTTAAAGTCGGAATTTTCGGAAATTGAATGAAAATATTATTTTAAAATAAAATAAAAATTCGATCAATGCCGCATAAGAAAACTCCTTTCCAATTTTCACCCATATTGAATGATTTAAAACTCGACATATTGTCTCGCAATTGGGATTTTTGGAATTGACTAGAGGTGAAAATCGGAATGGAGATTTCTAATTCCCCAATTCCTATTGGGTTCTTATTTCGGTTTGAAACGATATATTTAAATTGAATTCCAAAAATGCCGATATTGGAACAATATTTTTAATTTTTAAACTATATTTTTATTTTTTAAACAATATTTCCGAAACAAGTTGACTTTTTTGGATTTTACGTGATTTCGATTTTATATTAAATTTTAATTAAAAATAATAACTATAAAAATATGTTTTAACAAGACGCAATGCGTGTCGTTGAAAGTCCATTTTCATGTAGTGTTGTAAATTGAAGGCATGTGAGAGGCACATGCCATTTTCCATCCAACTTAACTGCAAAAATTAACGGCGGACCAATTCTGTCAAAAAATGGCATGATTAAGGACTACTATTGTAACTCCAAAATGTTTAGGGACAGTTTTGATAAAGTGGGTAAAGTATGAGGACGAAAAATGCAATTTTCCCTTATATTACTTACATTAAAAAAATATGTTACATAACAATAATTGTTAAAATAATAATATATTACTATATTAATTAAGTTGTTGAATGGGTAATATTCAATTAAAAATTAATTATCTATACTTATCAAACAAATAAACATCAGTAGTACATTAATTAAAATAAAAGTAAAACTTTTTGTAGAATCATTATTATGAAAGATTAAACATACAATTAAACATATAATGATTGTTATTTATTATATTGAATTATTACCAAATTATTAAAACTGAAACTTCAAAAGTTTAAAGGGAAATGAAATGTATTGGTCCCATGCATGGGTCCATTTAACAAAAAAAGCAGCAATAAAAAGGTGGGACTTTTACATTCTATCTTTCGGCATTAGAAATGATGAAGCAACTAATAATAAATTGAACTTCATTTCTTCCACTCCCACAACTTTATGTTTTCAAAATTATATTTTGGGTTAAATACATTTTGGACCGTTAAAAATACATGGATTGTAACACTAACCTCTTGAAGTATCAAATGTAACACTTACATTGACTATACTGACATGATATTTTTTATTCTCATAATCATTAAAGAAATTATGAATAGATGAGAAAAAAAAAATTCAACAACTTTAAAATCAAGTTTATCATTTCAAAATGATTATTTTATTGAAAGAAAAAGTTTAAATTTAGTTTAATTTCAATATTGGTTTTCTTTTTTACTTTCCCTAGTATAAACATTTCAATATATAAATCATATGTTAAGTTCATGTCATTTATAATTTATATTCTCCAAAAAAATTACGGTTAATGCTTCTCGCTTGCAAAAGTCTATTCATGCATGTATGAATCCAAATTTATTGTTATTAATCATTAATGCAGATAAAACTAAAAAAAAATTGGATGAAAAATTCAAAACACTTCACTGAAATTAGAATTTTTTATTTTGTAAAAAAATTTACGATTTAAAAGATTTTTTGAAAAAATATTATTACATATTCATATTTAGGGTTGGTAAACGAGCAAAGCCGGCTCGCGAACTCGACGAGCCGGCTCGACAAAGGCTCGAACTCGAGCTCACGAGTTCGAGCTTCGAACGAGCTCGAGCTCGAGCCCAATTTTAGCTGTTCGACAGCTCGCGAGCCGGCTCGCGAGCTGCCCTTTTTTTTTGTCTTTTGTTTTTTAAATTTTTTATATATATATATATATATATATATATATATATATATATATATATTACCATTACTATTATTATTATTATTAACTAAATAGTAAATAGTCTATAATAATAAATATTTCTAGTATTTAAATAGAAATTAAACAAATCTATATTACTTAGATAATTCATAATAATATAAAATATTATAATAATAATATAAAATTTAAAAAAATATATATAGCTTCAGTTCATTATTTATTTTATAATTGTTTTCATATTACTATAAGTATATAATTTTGAATAAAAATGAAATGATTTTAATAAAAAAAATTAATGAAAAAAAACCCTAAATGAGCTCGAGCTCGAGCTCGAGCCAAAAAAAATAACTCGAAGAGCTCGAGTTCCAGCTCGGCAAAATGGACTCGAGCTCGAGCTCGAGCCAGCCAAAAGAGCCGAGCTTGGCTTGTTCACACCTTATTCATATTTATATATATAACAGCTAATTACAGA